TCGATTATGTGGATAGAGAAAAAATGTTATATTTACTTCATACCAAAGGATGGCAGGGGAAATTGCTTCTAGTTCTAAAAAATATGTATTCATCGGTAAAGGTTTGTATTAAAACACAATCTGGTAGAACATCTAGTGGTGTACGCCAGGGATGTATATTAAGTCCAGTTTTGTTTATTTTTTTCATTAATGAGGTCGTGACAGAAATATATAACGAACGTCATCATTGTGTGTTTGTCACACAAGATATTAGAGATTTAATGTTACTGCTATTTGCTGATGATATTATAATGTTTTCATTCTCTGTTAATGGTTTAGGGAAACAAATGAATGTATCACATTCTTTTTGCAGTTGATGGGGATTGGAAGTTAATTTGTCAAAAACAAATGTAATTGTTTTAGAAATGGAGGTATCATTGCCAAAACTTAAAAATGGACATATAGTAATATCGCCTTAAAAATAGTTACTTACTGTAAATATTTAGGCTTGACGCTATCTTCTAAACTATCATGGTCAGTTGCGTGCAAACAACTAGCATCGCAAGCATCAAAAGCAATTATACCCATCTATAATTTTTTCAAGCAAAATATACATGTATCCTTTTCTACAGCTTGCACTATATTTGACGGCAAAATCGTGCCAATCTTGCTATATGAAGCGGAATATGGGGCGCAAAATATATTGACGCTATTGAAAAAGTACATGCTTCCTACAGTAAGCGCTTTTTAATTGTTGAAAAATATGCTTCCAACAAAGCTATTTTAGGTGAAACAGGACATTATCCCATTCATGTTTTAAGTCAACTTCGAATGACAAAATATTGGTTAAAATTACTGAGGATGGAGCCGCAAAGATATCCTTACCAATGTTATAAACTACTGAAAGCTCTTGGCGACAAAGGCAAAACGAATTGGGTCTCCAATATCAGATTTTTATTATTTTAATGTGGCTATTCCTTTGTGTGGATATCCCCAGATGTAGCTATAGGGGATACAAATTTGTTGTTCTACTCTTTTAAACAAAGGTTACACGATATGTATAGTCAAAACGTGCACGACAGAATATCTTCTTCTCGTTTCCTTAGCCATTACAAGGATATCAAGTCTGCTATAGAACCAGAAAAGTATATAAGTATGTTAGATGATAAATCGCTTGTTAGGGCATTATGTAAATTCAGAGTGTCATTTCACAATTTCAGTGTAAATTTTAGACGTAGATGTGAAAAAAGGGACGTTGAAATGGGTATCTGTAAAAACTGCCAATCAGGAGAAATTGAGGATGAATGTTTTATTAGTATGTGATAAGGGGGGTGGTATCCACCACCGTTTGTACAATTTTGAATCCCCACCACCTAGGGATGCTTCCAGTCAAATTTCGTTAATTTCAAATTAGTGGTTCAGAAGAAGAAGTCGTTTGAATAAATTGTTGACGGACGGACGGACGGACGACGGACGCCACGGTATCCCGAAGGACCAAGGTGAGCTGATGAATTGTACTTATATTATCATGATAATAGGCCTAAGGACAACATACAAAATACTGATATATTTTACAAGGTAAACATTTATTGAAAATGTAATATGAATGATTCAACTGGATGTCATATGAACAATAACAAACATGTTTTACTGACCAATACAACAATGTAAATTTGCAATTTGATATCACAATTTATTGCACATCCTCAATTACTCTATATATCATATCTCTTGTACAAAATACAACTGCACATAAATTTTTGTATATATTGTACCTTACTTTAGAAAAAGAGGGGTGGGATAGGGGTGTGTGACATATCTCCTGAATTGTCCCTGGTTGTGGTTACATTGATAAGGGAAGTTATAAATATCTAGGCAGAACTAATTTGTGCGTTTGTTTGTGTTTTATATAATATATATAAATTTCATTTTTATGTGTATAATATGTTGTCTACGTAAGATACTCTATAGTTATCATGTATATATTTTAGCAGACCTACAAAAAAACCAATTCATGTCAGCTTATGACACATTCTCACTTTTGTTCTATTTATTAAATACATATTTTATATTCCATTACTGATGAAACAAATGGAGACCTGTTTTGCCGTAAAAGCATGGAGAAATAATACATTGTTTTATCATGGATCCTTATGGCTGTTGGTTGGTCATTAGGGACTCATGATTTAATATTCCCTGTATGCATAATGTACCTCAGCACATGTGACGTCACAATTCACTGATGTATCGATATGTATGTATATGTTTAACCTGATGATAGGATACACAATAACCTACTGATGTATTGATTTTTGTTTTCATTCTGTATCCAATACTCAAAAAGTAGTACATATTTCACAACAGCCTGGTCTGATAACTACTCCGGCTAGAAAGTATGCACTGACATAGTCAAGAACATGTGGTATCATAACTATTTGATAGTGATTCATAAACATATGCTTTTGATATTGTCAGAAATATGAAATGGACTCTTCTTTAAGTAGATACTTTTTCCGGTTATGAACTGATTTTGTCGCTGTTATTTACATTCAAGTCTGAAACACCTCAGGGTCCCTCCACATTGTAATTTCGACGGTGGAGGGAGCTCCATGAAGGTGTGTTGACGACTTGACATCAGCTCAGGGTCCCTCCACATTGTAATTTCGACGGTGGAGGGAGTTCCATGAAGGTGTGTTGACGACTTGACATCAGCTCAGGGTCCCTCCACATTGTAATTTCGACCGTGGAGGGAGTTCCATGAAGGTGTGTTGACGACTTGACATCAGCTCAGGGTCCCTCCACATTGTAATTTCGACGGTGGAGGGAGTTCCATGAAGGTGTGTTGACGACTTGACATCAGCTCAGGGTCCCTCCACATTGTAATTTCGACGGTGGAGGGAGATCCATGAAGGTGTGTTGACGACTTGACATCACCTCAGGGTCCCTCCACATTGTAATTTCGACGGTGGAGGGAGCTCCATGAAGGTGTGTTGACGACTTGACATCACCTCAGGGTCCCTCCACATTGTAATTTCGACGGTGGAGGGAGTTCCATGAAGGTGTGTTGACGACTTGACATCAGCTCAGGGTCCCTCCACATTGTAATTTCGACGGTGGAGGGAGCTCCATGAAGGTGTGTTGACGACTTGACATCAGCTCAGGGTCCCTCCACATTGTAATTTCGACGGTGGAGGGAGTTCCATGAAGGTGTGTTGACGACTTGACATCAGCTCAGGGTCCCTCCACGTAACTTCGACCGTGGAGGGAGTTCCATCAAGGGGTGTTGACAACGACCTGAATGACCTCGGGGCTCCTCCACATTGTAATTCCAATGGTGGAGTGAGTCCCGTAAAGGGGTGTTGTACTCATTCATGTTTGAATTTTGTATCGATTTTGATAATATATATATATATATTTTTTTTTCAAGTCTGAAACACCTCAGGGTCCCTCCACAATGTAATTTCGACGGTGGAGTGAGATTCATAAAGGGGTGTTGAATTGATTCATGTTTAAATTTCGTATCGATTTTAATAAAATATTCTTTTTATTTTTCAAGTCTGAATCACCTCAGGGTCCCTCCACAATGTAATTTCGACGGTGGAGTGAGATTCATAAAGGGGTGTTGACGACGATGAAATTTTAAAACCACATCAGATCCATGTTGGATTCGGTTGTTTTAAAGCTGCAGCAATGTTTGTAAAGTATTATTTTTGTTTCGCTACAACCTGGTCTGTATGTAAATGAAAGCCACAAAAGCCATTTCATAATCACACAAAATCTTTCCTAAAAGCAGAATTCATTGTATGTTTCTGACTTTATCACACACCTGTGTTCAAAAAGCACTATGAAATAGTGATATCAGGTGTTCATTAAAAGGTGAGTGCTTGCTGGAGTAGTCAGGAGGCCAAGTTGTTGCAAACAGTAAATACTACTTTTTGAATGTTGGATACAGAATTAAAGCATGATTCGATACAGTGGTAAGTGTATTATGGGTCATATCGTCAGGTTTAAACATATGCGTACATATATAGATACATCAGTGAATTGTGACGTCACATGTGCTGAGGAACATAATGCATATGGGGCGGTCGGGTAGCCTAGTGGTTAAAGCGTTCGCTCTTCAAGCCGAAGACCCGGGTTCGATTCCCGACATGGGTACAATGTGTGAAGCCCATTTCTGGTGTCCCCCGCCGTGATATTGCTGGAATATTGCTAAACGTGGCATAAAACCACTCACTCACTCACGCACTCACTCACATAACGCATATAGGGAATATTAAATTGTGAGTCCTTAATGAACAACCAACGGGCTATAGCATCCACGATTATACAATGTATTTTTTTATCTTTGTTATTATGGTAAATATGACGTCTCCATCTGTTTCACCAGTAACTTCAAACAAACTCTGTCATTTCATTCCAGACCCACGAACACCTGGGCCCCGTTCCGAATTTAGTGCTACAATGATAGTAAGCCTATGTTAAAGTAGGGGACTTACGATCACCTTAGCGCTAACATCGCTTTGAGGAACGGGGCCCTGGGGTAGAATAGGTCTTCAGCAACCCATGCTTGCCGTAAGAGGCGACTATTATTGTCTGAGGCGACTGATGAGATCGGGTGGTCAGGCTTGCTGACTTGGTTGATGCATGTTATCATATCCCAATTTCATGGATCGATGCTCATGATGTCAATCACTGGATTGCCAAATCCAGACTCGATTATTTACAGACTGCCTGAGTGCGGTGTTAAACAAGATGGCGAGTGACGTACCGTGTATATATATATATATGGGTCCAGTGTTTCAGTAATATCACTATCCTGTGGTTTCACACTAGAACCCTAAATCACGTTTTTGTGACAAGTAGAGCTAATATGAATGAGGTGGCGTGGTATCTGACACGAAGATAAGTAACGAGACGGAACAGTACGCATAATATACATACACATACTTGACGTTTCAAACTAATCAGTTACCAATATCAGACCACAACCCGATAGTACTGATACTTAAGAAACCTACCTTTAGAAGTTGGCTTGTTAGTTCCCAAAAACATTTACACGTATTTGTAGGACTTCTTAGAATGACGTCTGGACCTGACACTTTTCAAACGACTGCCTTACCTTATAAACTTCTAAACGCGATAGTTTGCTCGCTGAGCTATGGAATACTGTAAGGGACATTCTCGCGGTCTCGCATATGGAATACTGTAAGGGACATTCTCGCGATTTAGCATATGGAATACTGTAAGGGACATTCTCGCGATCTCGCATATGGAATACTGTAAGGGACATTCTCGCGATCTCGCATTCTCGCGATCTCGACCTTTAGAAACGAGCTAAATATGCCAAAAACACGAGAATGCGAGATCTCGAGAATGCGAGATTTGGCCAATAAATCGCGTTCTCGTGATCTCGCATTCTCATGTTTTTTTATACATAGTACTTTTTGTCAAAAGTCGACAACGCGAGAATGCAACATTCGGACATGATGAAAAATCTCGCAATCTTGCAATTTCGACTTGTCAAAATAGTCAACAAAAACAAAAAACGCGAGAACGCGAGAATGCGAATTTCATTTTCTCGCGATCTCGCGTTCTCGTGTCCTCGCGTTTTAGACGCTGTCTGTGCGCATGCGTAATATCATAAGCTTCTTTCGTGCTCTTCATTTCCAAGTAGTATTTAGCACACTTATGACTTGAGCTTGAAAATGGTATGTAATTTACATACACAAAGTCGCATGTAGAGTAGAGTAGAGTCCTCACACTTTGGTACAGTTTCCTATGTACTTTAAACTAAAACCCTCAACAGGCTCAATATAATTACACAAAAGAAATTGTGTACATGAATGTCCATGGATAGTTTACACAAGTTAAATATCTTTCAGTTTGTTACAATGATTTTACTTTGCTGTAATTGCTAAGATAAAGTGATTCAGAAATTGTGTACATTAATATCCAGTGGTAGTGAAAACATTAAAGTGTCCGGAAGCTGGAAACAAAATATCACTGTCAGTGAGAGAGCAATCTCATTGGAATCAGACCTTAGTTCTCGCTACCGCTAGACAAAGATCTAAAGACATCCCATTAGGGGTCACATCAGAACGACCTTTCATCCGACCAATCAGAGTGTCGCTTACCAGATTATGAAAGTGACAGTCGGAATGTGATTTCTAAATCGTGCAACCTCGAAAACTTTAACACGGGGTATTCCGAACAATAGTCACGGGTTTAACGACTGAATCAATACAAACGGGACTATCTATTAGCCATTCCAGAATGTTCTTTTGTTCAGGTTTCAAATTTGTAACCGAGAATTTGTCAAAATATGTTTCGAAGCGTAGTCGCCAATTTGAAATTAGTGCCATAAAGCACAAGAAAGCTGCCTTCTCATTCCACTGGTAGGTCAAAGTTCGCGCAAGGTCGGTCTGACGTGACCCGTAATGGGATGTCCTAAGATCTTTGTTTAGCCGTAGCGAGAACTAAGATCTGATTTTAATGAGACTGGTGAGAGAGTAAATATTGCTTAAAGCCACATCAGCAGTATTTCAGCTATTCGCGGCTGGACTGTCAGTTACATATCACGGCGGGGAACACCAGAAATGGGTTTCACACATTGTATCCCATGTCTTCAGCGTGATGAGCAAACGCTTTAACCACGAGGCTACCCGACCGCCCCCACTTGTATTCAGAGCCATGCCGATCCCTCAGGCTGGATATTGGGGGTACTTTCTCAGTCTGAGCATGCCTGTCATGTGGATGTCAATGACGCAGTAAATTAATAGTTAGAACTTGATTGAATTTTTAAATACACAGGAGACGGAACGTTTTATCTTGAAATTTCAACTTAGTATCTTGAAATTTCAACATAACAGAAGAAAAGAAAGGGCCTTGAGGCTTCGTGAGCAAAAAGCTTTGCAATTTGCGGTTTCACTTGACCGGTTTCTAGCCAAGCTCCAACCCAGCGTTGTGACACATATATGCACAGCTCAGTATGGAATACTGTAAGGGACATTCTCGCGATCTCGCGATCTCGCATTCTCACGATCTCGACCTTTGGAAAGCTAAATATGCCAAAAAACACGTTCTCGCGATCTCGCATTCTTGTGTTTTTAATACATAGCACAATTTGGCAAAAGTCGACAACGCGAGAATGCGACAACTGGACATGATGAAATATCTCGCGATCTCGCAATCACTACTGGTAAATTAGGCCACAAAAACACAAATTCGCGTGAACGCGAGAATGCGACATTTCATTTTCTTGCAAACTCGCGTTTTAAACGCTGCCCGTGCGCATGCGTAATATCATAAGGTCGGGCGCATGCGCACGTTAGTTGTCCTGTGCGCATGCTTAATATCAAGCTTTTCATTCACCAAGTAGCATTTAGCAAACTTATGACTTGAGCTTGAAAATTCGATGTACTATGTCCTATGTAGAGTAGAGTAGAGTGCTCTCCCTTTGGTACAGTTTCCTATGAACTTTAAATTTAAACCCTCAACATGCTCAATTTAATTAAACAAAAGAAATTTGTGTACATGACAGACAGACAGTTAATTCAGTAATTTAGGTATGAAGGCTCATACTACAATGCAGATTGGATATTAACATTTGTCACGTGATGTACATGATTAGATTTTAAATGAAGTTACACATTCCTAATTATAAAGACATGTTTTAAGATCATATCAGGATTTTCAGAGTTTAGCAGATTTATCATTAACTGACGGTCTTAAAAAATACCTTGCAACATGGGGAGAAATGTATACCTTAAATGGGAATACGTTACACATATAAGTAAAACGTGGTATTCATCCTCTACTTCTCCGGATGAACAGTTTGTACAAATAGAGTTCACAATATCACCGTCTTTGGACCTGCGACATATATTTACATTACAATTGAGCAATGAAATTCTAAGTTTACAATAAACTCTGATTAAACTTTTATCATTTACACAAGTTAAATATCTTTCAGTTTGTAACAATGATTTTACTTTGCTGTAATTGCTAAGATAAAGTGATTGAGAAATTGTGTACATGATTGTCCAGTGATAGTGAAAACATTAAAGTGTCCGGAAGCTGGAAACAAAATATCACTGTCAGTTAGAGAGTAAATATTGCTTAAAGCCACATCAGCAGTGTTGCAGCTATTCGCGGCTGCATTGTCAGTTACAGAAATAATCATAGGCCAGTGATTTTCTCCATGAGGCAATATTATACACTTTCGAACCCACACTGCCAGAGTGAGGTACCTAATCGTCAGCACACAAAGTCAGCGATCTAACCCACTCAGGCACCGAGGCTTCCACAAAATGAAAATCCGACAACTGGTAGTGTAGATCACGTAGTTTGTGTACCCCTCTGACAAGTGTACATTGGCACGGCTCCCATGGCCGAAAGTTATGAACACACAATGTCATTTAGAAAGTGGTCAAATGTAACATATGTTCTATTTGGGTTAACACTTTCTCAGTAAAGTACAGATTCTCGTACTTTCTTTGGTTGAGTCCCGGGACTCGAACCCACACTGCGTATGCCAGAGTGAGGCACCTAATCGCCAGCACGCAAAGTTTCAGAGGAGAACACAAAGTACGTGATCCAAATACCAGTTGTCGGACTTTCATTTTGTGGAAGCCTCGGTGGCTGAGTGGGTTACATCGCTGACTTTGTGTGCTCAGAAAGGGTTATCCCAAATATAACATTTGTTACATTTGACCACTTTCTAAATGGCATTGTGTGTTAATATTATACACGGCTAGCATATTCATTGAAACAAAATTCTCAAAGACCAATTTGTAGCATTCGGCTGAAATGAGATGTCCGATGTTTTTACACGATGCCATATTCGCTTCTTTAGGCCATACAAAATCAATTAATAGATTTTCAGCAGCAATTCGCCTTCGACAGCAATTGTACACAGATGCCTTAAATGGCTCAATAAGAAAGCAATAAAATGTTAAAAATAAAATGCCTCACGTCCCCCATGGTTTTTTTTTAAAATCAAATTCTAACTATTAATTTATTGCGGCCTTTACATCCACATGATAGACATGTTTATACTGGAAAAGTATCCCCCAATATCCAGCCAGAGGGACCGACACAGCTCTGAATAAGTGAGTGAGTTTGGCTTAACACCGCTTTGAACAATATGTAGTTATACCCCGGCTTGTCAGCTTGAAATGGGACGAAACCCACCAAGATAGGTTTATGGCACGCCCAAGGAACGCAACTCCACGCAGAGGATCGGACGCCTCAGACGACTGAGCCACTAGATGACTGTAGGTAATTGGCAGAAAAACGCGAGAACGCGAAATCGCGACATTGGTGAAGCGTCGCAATCTCACGTTCTCGCGTTTTTGAAAACAGTTGCATGTAACTGTATAGGCAATTGGCACAAAAAGCACGAGAACGCCAGATCGCGAGATTGCGATATTGGTTAAGTGTCGCAATCTCGCGTTCTAGCGTTTTTGAAAATAGTTACATATAACTGTATAGGCAATTGACACAAAAGCACGAGAACGCGAGATCGCGACATCGGTCAAGTGTCGCGATCTCGCGTTCTCGCGTTTTTGAAATATTTACACTTGACTGTATAGGCAATTGACACAAAAGTACGAGAACGCGATATCGCGATATTGGTCAAGTTTCGCGATCTCGCATTCTCGCGTTTTTGAAAATAGGTACATATAACTATATAGGAAATTGGCACAAAAGCACGAGAATGCGAGAACGCCAGATCGCGACATTGTTCAAGTGTCGCAATCTCGCGTTCTCACGTTCTCGCGTTTTTGAAAAGAGTTGCATATAACTGTATTAGGCAATTGACAAAAAAAAGCACGAGAATGCGAGATCGCGAGATCGCGACATTAGTTAAGTGTCGCAATCTCGCGTTCTGGTGTTTTTGAAAATAGTAACATATAACTGTAAAGGCAATTGACACAAAAGCACGTGAACGCAAGATCGCGACATTGGTCAAGTGTCGCGATCCCGCGTTCACGCGTTTTTGAAAATATTTACACATGACTGTATAGGCAATTGACACAAAAGCACAAGAACTCGAGTGTGTTACACTTAGAGAGGGTGTACGCATGTTATGCACGTGCAGGCCATGACGATTAAATCGACTACGCTCCCGTGGACATACGAGCTGCTCGTAAGACTATTACGAGGT